TTTCTACAGATAGTAGATTGATGAACATGTTTTTTCTTTCTTCTTTTTATTACAAGTGTAACAGTTAATAATTCTTAAACTAACAATCGAATCACACATACCTAATTCCTTAGAACATTTTGTGTACTATTCTTCACACCTTCGTAATTTTAAGTTTCTAAATCTTATAGATGTTAGGCAACACAGTATGATTTAAGGTAAATCAACAACAAAAACATGGGGAGGAGGAGAGAAAGAATTTGCAAAAAAAGCACTTAAAATTTCAATGCCTTTAAATCAAATTGGAATTTTAGTTCATATACAAATGTGGCCCTTTCAGCATGCCAAATTTCAATTCAGTAGTTGAATTCTTAAGGACTGTAGAGGGGCCTGCATGGTATTTTTTACAACAAGTTTAACAGTTAATAATTCTTGAACAAATAATAGCATGTTAATTTTTTTTATAGCATCATAATTCCTGAACACTCTTCTACACGCCTAAGTAATTTAAGTTTCTAAGTGTTATAGTTTTTGGGTAGCAAAATGTAACATTAAGTTAAAAACACAAAATAGAGGCGTTGGAGTAGGTGGTAGCTCTTACCATATTTTTTTTTTTGTACATAGAGATGATTACCTGAATATTGATCAAACATATTTCAATGTGACACCTAAACTAAATTCAATTTGCACTTACGTAAGTGGCAGCTGTGTATCTCCTGGTTGGGCAAGCATAATGGTATAATCAGAAAGCGAGAGGGAAAATACAACATGATCATTCATTTGCTTTCACTACAAAATATTTTTTTTAAAGTAATGTGTCTTTAAATTCTATATTCAGTTACTTTTCCTCATCCAAACATATCCAAATCATTATCTGATTCAATCGATTTCTTAGATGATATAAATAAATAAGATACGTCAAAATTAGACGTTAGGATAAATTAGATATTTAGACAACAGTATAAACTAAACCTTTAAAATCTGGATAACTATAAAATCATGGCATACTTGAATTAAAATCCTTGGTCTTTGTACTGATGGGAAAGGATTTTCAAGCACGAAATTAGATATTATTCAAGAAAAAATGATTCTTTTATACTAGTAAAATATTGTTTAAACCAGAGTTTCGTGAACCTTTTTGTTTCGCAGACCCCTTGCCATGTTTTTCCATTTTGGATAGACCCCCCGCTTTCCTGATATTAATTTCTTTGTAAATTCATCAACTTAATTTTGTAATGTATTTTTGACAGCTGGTACAGTGCTACTCACTGCGAAATATTTAAATTTCTAACTGTAGTGAAGTATATTGTGGAAAAAAACATGTTATTTTATACATTTATTAATTAAATTTAATCTAATTTAATATATAAATGGAATAAAATAATTCCACTATATAACCCCTACTCCACCACAAATATTATAATTGCGGAAATAAGTTTGTATACAAAACCGTAGTAGTGTATTGTCGGTCTGTTTATTACGTTTTCACATATAAAGTAGGCAGCAAATCTCCATGATCTTGTGCGTAGATAAAGTTGGCAGTCTAGATTTAACACAGGTTAGACTACAATTTACCACAGAAAAATACTTTTTTGTTGCAAAATAAAATCTTACATGCAGAGAAAATAAAAACTCACGCAGGCAGAGCTGCAGGCAACTGCTAGTTTATAATAATTCAGTTTCATACATCAAAAAATAATCCTAATAACTTACATTTTCATAAAATTTTTACTTCATAGCTACTTTTATAAATTATGTAGAATGTAGATAGATATATGCTTTTATATTATAAGGTAATATAATGTAAGTAATTAAGTACTATCAGTGTATGTTGATTATTCCAATCATGAAATGCCAAAATTAAAAGTCAATACCTGCCCATATGAGATCCACTATCGTTGACCCCCAATTTTTTTTTCACTCGACATGGACCCCTTGCATGTTGTCATCGAACCCTGGGGGTCGATATAGACCACTTTGGGAATCACTGGTTTAAATTATTAAACATTGTTCAAATTATTGTTAAGAATTTTAAGACATACAATTAAAAGAAAAATGTTTTCAATACCAATTTATCATTATGGATTTTAAGCTCAGTTACGTTTATTTTCAACATATTTTAAAAATCTACAGAAAACTAATAAAGACCGATTAAGGATTGCCACTCAAATCTTAACAAAAAATTCCCTGTTACATATTATAAACAATATATCAAGAGGGAATACACAATCACTATGCTCATGTATGATCTATATTAGGATAACTATACAGATTTTAATTGCAGGAAAAACTCAGAAATAAGGAACAGTTCAACAAACTACTTAAAAAAAATGCTACAGTAAATGAAATAGCGTAGCGGAATAACGGTTGCTAATCGGTCACAAGGTGATAAAATATAACACTAAAAAATTGTCAGTCAGTAGACACCAAATTGCTCTTCTCTTCTACAATGCACCCCATGTTATAATATTTTAAAATAAACATGGGATTATTTTTTGTATTTTGTAAAATTTCAAAAATTACTTTATTTCATACTTAAATTTTTTTTAAAATTTTTAAAAATGAATTTTGTAATGTTGTTCATATTTTGAGAATGCTTAAACAGGGTTCCCACTAAATTTCAGAAAAAAAATTCCCTAGTAAATTCAAATGAAAATTGAGCCCTACGTTCATCAGAAAACTTTGATTCTTTTATTTATAATGTGAAATATTAGATTTTCTGTGTAAAAGATTATTATTAAATGAACAAAGGGAACATTTCAGTTTGACTAAAATGTGAAACTTTTACAACAAATAATTGTAACAGATGTCAGAATTATTTAACTTGAATCTCAATAACTGGTTACTGTTACTGACAATTTTAATACTGGTTATTTTCTAGGTATTATGTAGGAATATTCCAGGTCTTTGTAAACAAATTGCCTGATAATTCCAGGTTTTCCCTGGTCTCCTTGACCCATTTGAACACAGTTTAAAAGAAATGCCTTACGTTATCAAAAGTTTTTCCATTCATATAAAATTTTTAAAAATGCATTACTGTTAAAGATGTTGGCCATTAGACGGTATCAGAAATTTCTGAGTACATCCAACATGAAGAAGAGGTGATTGCGACACAAAGTAAAAGATCCTGAAAATTTTCTCTGCACAAAAGTGAGATATTAATTTATATGCCATACATGTTTCATATTTAACATAATAATCCTTTTAACTGACATTAATAATTAAATGAAATACTAATGGAAAATATCACACCTTTATAGTAACTAATTCAAGAAAAAAATTACTTCTCAGTGGCATTGCGATATTGGATTTTAAAATTCTCCAATATGAATCAAGCTATTGGATTTTAAAACTGTGGAAATACTACTTACAATATTGAATTTTTATATTGCGCAAATACCTTTATTCTGAATTTTAGTACATCAAACATGAAGAAGAGAGTAAGTAACAGAGGACATTGTAACACGAAGTAAAAGACCCTGAAAATTTTCTGTGCACAAAAGTGACATCTAGATATTAATTTATATGACATACATGTTTCATATTTAACATAATTTTTTTAACTGACATTAATAATTAAATGAAATACTAATGGAAAATATCACACCTTTATAGTAACTAATTCAAGAAAAAAATTACTTCTCAGTGGCATTGCGATATTGGATTTTAAAATTGTCCAATATGAATCAAGATATTGGATTTTAAAGCTGTGGAAATACTACTTACAATATTGAATTTTTATATTGCGCAAATACGAACCATGATGCATGCAATTTTTAGATTTCGTTAATATGATTCGTACTGCGTAGTTTTCAAATCACCTTTAAATACAAAAATAGATGTTTGATATGGGTAAATATGAGCCATGATATTGGGTTTCAAAAACTCATGAATATGAATCTTGATATTGGACTTTAAAAAACTTGTAAATACGAATCGTGACATTAAATTTTTAACTCATGTGAATACGAATTGCAATATTAGGTTCTGAAATCACGTGAAAAAAGATTACGATGCACGATTTTTAAATTGTGAAAATACGAATAACATAACTTTTAAATTAGATTGAAGGGGAGGAACCCTCTCATATTAAGTTGAAGACAACTATGACAAAAATCAAACAGCATTTATTACTAAGTGAAATATAACAAGATAAAAACAGAAACGTAAAATTAAGTATGAGTGTGCACAGAGCAAAGTTCGAAGCTTCTTAAATACTGAAGAAGGGTACAAGGTTGCCGATCCTGTGTATGTCATCCAGCTGATTCCCTTGGCGACTACGCACCATGCCTGGCGTCACATTACTCCCCACTGGAGTTTCATAGTCATCAGATTATGAAACAAACTCTTCTTCCATACCGAGTAACATACTTCTTCGCGTCCGGTACCCTTTCTGCCAATGACTGCACAATTGCAGTCATTGGCAGAAAGCCAATGACTAGTTTGCTTTAGCTAGAATTTTAAATTGATAAAATTTTTAAAAAAATAATAAAAATTCTTAAATCACAGAAGAGTTTAAAAGATAATTCCCGCTAGAAATGCTTTTTCTTTCATTTTTTGAAAGAACACCATATTTTTTAAAGATAAAATAATTTTATATTCTAAGAAAATATTCCTGAGTGGTGATTTTGATAGGAATTCAGATATTTGGAACAGGATGAAATTGGGTAGAGGGGATTGCATTTTAAAAATTAGATTTTTTGGAAGTGGTGCAAGTGGCAAAACATGGTTTTGGAGCATCTTTGGAGCAACAAAAAAGCAATTTTGGAGCAGCAAAACAAAGATTTGGAGCATATATTTAATAAAAATAATTAAAACAAGAACTTAATAACAAGAGGTTTTAATTTTGTTCATTAATAACATATCTTAATTTTCACACTTTTTTGAAGGTCCCTGCATAAACAAATTAAGTTTCTTTTTCGTATCTTCCAATGCTGTTAAATATTCTGCTATCCTCGACTTAGCCTCAGATAAGAGGATCTGTCCACTTTCTGTAATTGACATGTCTTTATTATTTAACCCATCTTTAATATTTTTTTCAGCTGTGGCTAAGAGATCTTGAGAAGCCTTCAATTTTTTTAGCAAATCAATTTCAGCAGCTTTGAATCTGCTTTCCTCAGTTTCAGTGTTTTCACATTCTTTTCGCTTTCTTTTTTCTCAACCTCTAATCAAGCAGAATAATTTTTAAATGCTGCATTGGTCCCTTTAATCATATCTTTGTCAACTTTAAAGCTACTTAAATTCCCAGCTGATATGTGACAACTTGTCTCAAACTATTAACACTATGCAAATTGAAACTTGCCCTATTGTCAAGTAGTTTTTTATTCACACATATGAACAAAACTAAAACCTCTCTGATACTAAAACCTCTTTCAACATCAGCATTCCCATGTGGTATACACAAAAGAGCTTTAAAAAGCTTTGTTATAAGAGGATATTTGATATTTCCCAAATTATCTTTCTTCACAAAATAGTCCAAGTACACACAAAAACACATCAAATCACAAGTCACAAAACAGTTCCAAAACACATCAATTGGTGCATATTCATTTGAGTCAGAAGAATAACCTTCTGGTTCTCCACATAACAGTAACAAAGATGCTTAATCTGGATTTATAATGAATGGAGTTACTGTTGCCAGATATCTTATTGACTTAATAGAAGTGTCTTCCATTCTCATTACAGGATGCAACACTTTAAGATGGTACAGTAACATGTTTTCAAGAAGCAATGCTTTTAATAACTTTTCTGCACATGCTATAGACCTGGCACCTAAATACATTGAATTTTTTCCTGAAGAAGATAAGGATGTCATCTTATTTGTGATATCTAGTCCAACATGTATTAAATTTGAATTTTGGCAAATTTCTGCGTTTTCTACATCCAAATATTTTAGTCCATCCTATTCAAACTAAGAAAAGCAAAACTCTTTAAAAAAACGCCCTAACAATGCTTAAACAAGAGACACCATTTCATCATACAGCAAGTGAATCAATGGTGTCTCAGCTTGGAAAAAACCTAGAAATTTATTTAATATAGCCGAAATATTTCTTAAAAATGAGCTTTTGCCAAAACCAATTTAAATAAATTCAATATTGAGTGGCTCATACTATTTTTTAAATTAATAATTACTTTATTTAATTTTGTAAAAGGTAATTAAAAACTCTAATTAATTTAAATATTATTTAAGGTTATTGAGTGTACGTCATCCAGCTGATTCCTTTGGCGACTACGCAAAATGTATGTTTGATATTAAAATGACATGAATAAGAATGGAGATATTAGCAGTTTCCGCGATGTTAGTAGTCAAATATTCAAAATTGGGAAAATTGAGATCCGAGATTGCCGCAGAATATCATTGTATCTGTTTGTCAACAAAACAAATAAGAAAACAAAGTCTCTATGGCAATAAATTTATTTTAAAAATATATTATGCTGGTAGACATACTCTCATAGTAGACATATACCTGGTAGACATACCAGGTGTGCCAAAAATTACGTATGATTTGAAAAATTAAGCAAAGAAGGGTGGATATTTACTAAAAAAATTTTCTTGTTAAATTTCAAAATTAGATACTAAAATTGTCAGCAGATGGAATCTATGGCTACAAACACCATTGTTCCAACTAAAAAAGTATTTGCAAGAATGTCATGTCTAAATTAATGTCCTTAAACTTGGGCAGGTTTTGCTGCAGATGGTAGTCATTTAGAAAAATTTCCTTCTGTTGTCTTTTAATATTATCAGAACTTTTGTTCAATTGTGTGCAACTAATTTTGAAACTAAAAAATTACCTAGTTTCTTAAGAACAGTACAAAAGCATGTAATTTTATCACCTTCATTTTTTCTTTAGTTAATATTTCAAATTCTAGGTCATTTTTCTGACAGCTAGTATAATGGACAGTAAAATAACATTGCATTAAATGGGACTTTTGTATCTTACATTTTAATGAAGAGGTCTATGCAATAGGGAAGCCTACAAAAAAAGAATGTAAGCTACTTATTAAAACGCAAATGAAATAAGATGAGTTATTCTATGATATTGCTTGTGCAAATGAAAAATACACACAATAGCAAATAAAGCTAATTACTAATAATTACTTCATTCAAATTATTTTAAAAGAGTCGTTTGAAATCGTACCAAGAAATGACTCCACCGAAACAATCTTCAACTTGATTGATGCGACCCAAATTAGTACCGCTGACTCGACCAAATTATATACACCTCTCAGTAATATTAATCATGTGGTGTGCCCTCTATATCTAAATAAATATGATTATGAAAAAAATTAGAGACAATAACTAAAAACACACAAAATTCACTGAATTGGTTAAGTAAAAACATTTTAAAAAGTGCAATGTCATTAATTTTGAAACTTCGCAAGAAACTTTTTATGAGTATTTTACAAGATGAAGTTTTAAATAAATTTTATCTAAAACTGATTTTGCCAGCTAAGTGTTATACAATGATTCAAGATGCAACAAGTTTTCAACTGTGATAAAACTAGTGCTTTTATATATATATATATATATATATATATAACTTCTNCTTAGGGAAAATTTCACTTCGATACTCAACGTTTTTGATTTAAGTTTAAAAACTATTTTTTATCACAATCAGGCTGAGTTATGAAAGCGAATGCAAAATATATGCCTAGCGTGACAAAATGACCGATGCACAAAAAACTAAGTGACAGTACAATAGACTACACACAGATATTTTTGAAAATTAAAAAGAATAAAACAATTTCAGCACTTAAAAAATTAATAAAAATAAAAATCAAGGAGGAAATTTCTTTTAAGAAATTAAAAAGAATGCACGAAGAAAGATTTTAAGGAATAAGAACTTTTAAAAAAATGAGACCCACACCAGACTTCAAAGAATGGAAATTAGTACTTGATAACAATACTGTATTTTTCACTGAGGAACCAAAGTATCAAACTCAGACATGATAAATGTTAGTGTATTTTTTTTATTTATAAGATAGACAAATGATTCCTGAAAAAAGAAATTATCTGAATTTTCTTCAATGTTTTTTTCTTTTAGTGCTTAATTTTTTTTCTTTTCGTATATAAAAAATAAATAAAAGACTTACAGACAAAAGAAACACAAAAACAAACAGATTCCCCCATAATTGAACTAAGCGTGGCTTTACAATAAAAGAAGAAAAAAAGATATTAAAGTTTAAAAAATCTATAGCAATAACTGAAAAAAGATTGATGATAAAAACCTCAAGTATTTACTAGAAATCGCACAAATCGAGCAGGAGAAAAAGAAGTTAATGAAATGAATGTTTCAAGATTCACATATTATAATTAATAATACTGTACTAAAAATATTGAGATTTTAAAAATATATTCAAAATTTAGCAGTGACAACTGCTGAAAAATTGATAGAAAAACAACAGTAGAATTATCGTATCAGATTATTAATATTGCGCAATTTGAATTTTCGGTATCATAGTAATATCTGTATTTTAAGATATCATGTGATTTAAAATCAACAGCAATAACTGCAAAAAGAAAAAAAAAAACTTAAATCAAGTCTGCGAAAAATCAATTACACAAATAAATACGTGATTAGAATTTCTCGCTTCTTAATAATATTGTATGAAAATATCACGATTTAAAAAATCATGACGATATCAAGTAGCAAAAACTTTAAAAACCTCAACTAAAACTTGGTAGTGACCTTGTAAAACAAACAATAATAATAAATACATGAATTGAATTTTGCATGTCATAATAATATTGGAATTTTAAAAACCATGAGGAAATCAGTTGCAGTAACTGCAAAAGAAAAAATAAAACATCGAAATCAGGAATTATAGTGATATCCAGCGAGTTAAAATCTCCATCTACAGTTATCATATGAAAAATTTAATCTAATTGTATCCAATTAAAAGACGACAGCAAATGTATAATATTGATTAAATAATTCCTTTATTACAAATCGGAATTTATTAAACATTTAAAATCAAAGTTTAAAAGGAATGAAAAAAAACACCATTTTTTTTCTAGGGAACGATAAGTTAAATGTTACTATTTCAAAATTATTTTGAAGACCGTCAACTTAATTATTTTTCTATTCGCCTCAGTGGTTCATTAATTTTAACCGAGGAAATTATTACAGATACAAAGTTTTATAAGAGTTAGTTATTACAGATATAAAGCATAGAAACTCAAACAAATCTGCTGAAAAAAAGTTCTTTTGGATCTCATTAAGTACTCAAAAAGAAAAAAAGAGGTGCTTGTAAAGGAGGTATAAATTTCATGTTAACGAGATTTTGTGTAAGTAGTGAAATTCAAATTTTTGATTAGCGAAATTCCGAGAAAATTTTGTTGAAATATAAATTATTGATTATTATTTATTAGTCCGTGAATCAATAATCTTGAGATTCGCGGAATTCTGCAAATTAACAGAAGAAACACATGCCTGATAAGAACAAAATTTCCAATAATCCCAATTTAAAATGAATTTTAAAAATCAAATTGAATAAGTCAAATATATGAAGAAAAAAAATAGTAGATAAATAAAAAGGATTCTACCTATACATTATTAGCCCTTACTGTTTACATTCAAAACTGCAATGAATTTATCTTTGGCATCTCCAAGACTAGAAAATATAGAGTTGATTTTACAAAGAATATTTTCAGTAAGTTCACGAGATTTTGCTATCATTGGAAAACTATTCCTCCAATTATACAACAATTCCTAAAAGAAACAATATATAGCTGTAATGAAATATTACAAGTTATAAAATTATAATGTTAAGTTTTATAGTGTAATGAATAAAACAGTTTATCACATTTAATCAGCAATATATACATATATATAACAATTGCATTCTAGAGATTAAAAACGAAATCTGAATATTTAGTAAAAATGGCTGATCTAGACACAGTAGTTACACATAAGATTTCTTTTTGTGAGTAATGCAGATTTTTGCTAAACATTTTTAAATAAAAAAATTACAATAATAAAAACAAATTCTGCAAAAAAAAAATCAAATTTAATTTTACAAAAAATAGCGCAAAAATAATATTGACCTACCGGAAGAATGATTAGGTAACAAGCAATTGTCCTTAATTAAGACAAATAACTTATTAAAAATACACATAAAGCATTTAAAAAATTTTGTCAAATAATGTTTTTTTTTCTGAAAAAATTCCCCCCCAAAGTTTTTTTTTTTTTACATAAATGAAAATTTCTTTTGGAAATATCAACTTTGCTATTATCTCATAAAAAATAGAAGTATATTAAATTTAGAAATATTTTCATAATACTCTTTGTTATCTTGTTTTCTCATTTAATACTAAAATAATACTAAACATTTACATTCATTATGTAAAACATTTACAAAAAAAAAAATGGTTAGTTTTAAATCACATATTGAATAAAAATAGGGTAATTATTTATACTTAATTCATGAATTCATTGTAATAAATAATACAGATCTCAGTGAGCAATGAAGGGAACTCTGTGAACTGATGTGTCAAAATAATTACTGTTTTTTGAAATAAATTTCCTTTCAAAGTATAGACTTCAGATTTTATTTTCTCCAGATACATCAAAAATAAATTTGAAAGCTAATTTAGATCATAGTTTAAAAAGTCTTTATTAACAAATTTTTTAACATAAATTTCGTCTCCTTCAATTTTCTAAAGTTGCAACACCTGATATTATCTTTATGTTTCTCATGGCCAATCATTAAAAATAAATCATATAACCAGAATAAAAATTGCATTTTAAATATTGTTTTAAAATAACTGAGGTTTAAAGTAATTATTTCCTTACTTAAAACTTATCTTTAAAAATTATACTTACATTTAAATTATAATTATATTTTGTTAAAAAATTCATCAACACTAAAATTGTAGTTGGGTATAATATTAGGCAGGTGAAAAACTGAAAACTTTAGCCAAAACACCATCTTCTTCACATATAAATAAACAGCAAATTCACAAAATACAGAATATGAAACTTCTCATTGAAAAACAAATTATGAAAATAATTTTAGAAACTAACAAGTAGTAGGTAATAAAAATTTAAACAAAAAACTAATTATAAAGCTTAAGAACACAGACTCAGTTCTTTTAAAAAAAATAAGTGATATAATTCAAAGATGTGAAAAACTTGTGATACCTATGATATATTAACAAAACTCATGATATACTAAAAATTTAGAAATGCAATAAATATTACTTTTAATATTTATCTGTGTTTAGAAATAAAAACTTGTTATTAAACGAAATTTGAAAATATTTACAACATTTAGATAAATGGCTTAGTTTAAAAGAAAGAATGTATGTGAAATATTCAATTTACAAATTTTTTTACAACAATGAGCTCATAAGTAAATAATCAATTTATTTAAAAAAAATGATATCAAAAATCTTTATTTAAATAATGATAGTGGAGAAAATATAGTAGAACTTATAAAATGTTAACTTTTTAAAATTGTTTGATATTTTAAAAATGTAACAAAAAATAACTCAGGCTTGCAATGGAAAATAATAATGAAAAATTTCTGTCAGGTCACGTTTTTTAGAAAAATTCAATTTTACTGGAATTTTTATGAACATTTACCATAAAAATTTTTTGTTTTTGAATTTTTTCTCTTCTTGACTGACCAGCATTCTACTTTGGTTAAATTTACAAAAGTCCTCTATCACTACTTCCTGTCATCGTCCCTCTCTCTGTCACAATCCATCTCTACCAATAGCGTAGCGAGAATCCTTATCTAGGTTCGCTGACCTCTCAGAAACACTAGTAAGCGTAATAGGGAGTCATTTTAAAATCTGCTTTTTTCTGTGCAATTCGTGAAACATGGCTTCGAGTTCGTGACATTGTGAAAACTTCCCAGATGACTTTTGTTATATATGCGGCGAATATATTGTTGTTAAATTACTTATTGTTGTTTAATTACAGACTGTGTAAGACAACTTTATCTCACATATTTTGGCATAAGACTCGGAGATCAGGACAAATTTTGGACACCTCATAAAGTTTGTGCAGTGTTTTAATGATCTACGCTTATGGCATCAAGGAAAGAAGACTGCTTTACGATTTGGAATTCCTATAAATTGGAGGGAGTCCCAAAAACACTTTGATGATTGTTATTTTTGTTCCTGCCGAGTTCGTGGGTATAACCTAAAAAAGCAAAGACTAATATCTTTTCCTGGTAGCATTCCATTGGCTATACGCCCCGCTCCTCATGGACCTGATGTACCTTTGCCCCCAACTGAATTGTCAATCATCTCTTCAGAGTCTTCAGACTCGGAACATCCAGAAGTTCAAGGCTCCGATATCGAACATAAGCTATCTGTTGCCGGTTCACCTCAGCCCTTTTCTTAGGTCTTGACCTTTCAAAAGAGGCAGCTGAATTGTTAGGCTCCAGACTGAAAGAAAAAAACTTATTGGCCAAAGGAACATCTTTTTATTAGTACAGGAATCGTGAAAAGGAATTTATTAAGTACTTTGATGAAGAGAACTTGGTCTATTGTTTTGATGTTCCTGGATAGATGGCAAAATTTAATGTCATCTACGATAAAGATGAGTGGAGGCAGCTTATAGATTCAGCTAAAAGAAGCCTCAAAGCTGTTCTTCTTCATCTTGGGAGCCAGTATGCATCAGTACCAGTTGGACACTCAGTATATTTAAAAGAATGCTACGAAAACCTGGCTCTCGTCCTGCACTAAATAAAATACATTGACCACAGTTGGACCATTTGCGGTGATTTGAAATTTATCTCCATGCTTCTCAGTCAACAAGGGGGATTTACAAAGTACCCATGTTTCATTTGTGAGTGAGGCAGCCGTGACAAGACTCAACATTGGATCGAAAAAGAATGGCCGAAAAGACAAAATCTTGACCCAGGCACCAAGAACGTTATTCGAAACAGCTTAGTTGATCCGAAAAAAATATTGTTACCTCTGCTACATATAAAATTATGTGTAATGAAGCAGTTTGTCAAGGCTCTTCCAAAAGAAGGCAATTGTTTTAAATACCTGTGCAAAAAGTTTCCAGATTATCCCAAGCTAAGCTCCAAGCAATATGGAGCGTAGATATCAAGGAAGATGGGACAAGAACATGCTCGCTGACTACTGTTGGATGATAGCTCGGGATAAACCAGAGATCAAGCATAAAAAAAGATCATCCAAAATAAGTGTCAGAGGAAAACGAGTATGTACTTAAATAGAAACTTTTTTCTTTTGTTTTTTGCTTGTTTTGTTTTTTGTTTGTTTTTTGTTTCAAACTTTCATATACACATACACAATATTTGTTATTCTTGGTCAATCGTCAATTTTACGTCAGTTATCTCAATAAAAACAAATTAAAATGGTATGTTGGTGATTTTCTTCTAGAAACTGATGTAAAAAGTTTGAACACAAGGAACTTATTGTTTTTCTCTTGACCAGAGGTGACTTCTGCTGTCTGGTAACAGTATTTTTTATTCATTTTAACCTATAAAATATCAGTTGATAGCTCAAAAATCAATTTTCTTTCACAAGATTAAATTTTACATAGATCAAAATGAATGAANGAGTAGAACTTATAAAAAATTAACTTTTTAAAATTGTTTGATATTTTAAGAATGTAACAAAAAATAATCAAAGTTTAATTAGGCTAAACTTAAAAGTTTAAAAATAATGTTTGTAAACAAAATATTATTTTAACTTAGGCAAATATACTTTCAAAGAAATTCATTATACTACACTTAATTTTAAAATATTTAATTTTCACTTTTTTCTTAAACAATCAATTTCATTTTTAAAAACAAAATAGTTTGCCATTTTTTGAAAGCTACCAAATATTAAAATAAAAAATTAGATCATAACTAAAGTAATAATATATAAGCTTTCACTAAACATAAAAGGTTTTATTAAAATCTCATTCAATAAAATCTTAACAATTAATAACTAACAAATTTTAATTTTGATATTTTAATTTGATTTCAACAAAAACATTTAATTTATCAAATATGGTATAATTAAAATAAAAACTAAAAATATACAAAGATAATTGTTACTTTTTTATATAAATTGTTAGCACAGGAAGAATATATATTAAAAAATACAGAAACTGAATATAAACATACTCATTGAATATTTTTGACTGGTAATTTAAAAGCCAATATAAAGAAATAAAGAGTTTATAACAAAAGAATATGGTTAAATGATATTTGGAAAAAAGAATTAAAAAAAACTGTGTTAAAAATTATATTCTTTTACTTTCAAAAATTTAATATAAAAGCTAAACTTTAATTTCTTTCAATAATTTTTTTCTTTCAAAAAATGCAGTAGAAATAACAAGAGGAATAGTTCACACTACTTCTTGCATGTACAAATAATTACTCATAATTATTTATTTTTTTTAATTATTTTGATTTATTATTAAATTATAAATACAAATTTCATGTGTATCAGATATTAATATCATCATGTGTATCAGATATTGGTTTTGGATTTACCAATTAAAAAAATGTTTTAAGTCATTAAACTTACCAATGCTGGAAAAATCAGACGACCTTTCTGGGACACAAACTTGACAGATTTTCATACTACATACTTTTCTAAAGGTATTGATTTACCAGCTAATCATTGTTTTAAGCTTGGAACTTTCCTAAAACAGCACATAAAATAAACTGCTTAATATTTTTAAAATTCAAGAGTAATAATTTAAATGCTACGTTGCAGAAAAAAAGAGCTAAAGTTCCAAAATGAGATAAAATTATATTACTTTAAAAACTTAAGATCATAAAAAGTTTTCCGTAATGATATTTAAATATAGTCTTGTTTTATAAGCAAGACCTTTAATGGAAATTAAGAATAACTTAACATAGAATGGAAATTAATAAAGCAATTAACATAAGCACTTACTGTTGTAACAGCCTGAATAATTGCTTCATAATACATATTTCAGTTCTTAAACACTAGCCCTAACCAACTTAAATAATAGTGTTTTGAAATTTTACTATCAATTATAAATTGTTGATGACCAATGATGAATTAGCAAGGGTGTGACGAAATAAACAACATTGCAAATACATAAAATATACACAATAGTGGTAATTTACTTTTCCTCAAACTTCTTTTATTCATAACACAGCCATAAAGATATAATTAGAAGGCATATCAGCCGGGTAATTTATGAACATAAAAAACAAACAGAAATTGAATTCTAAAAATATTTTGAAGTTTTTTTTCAGTTTAAATTATTAACATGCGTTAAGTGATTATTTGAAATTTTAACAAGCAATATTTGAGAACGAAAATTGTTTTTTAAATAAGGAAAGATCATCAGAATCATGCTCCTCTAAATTACTTATGTCATTAAGAGTGTTCTAAGAGCCTGTTTGTATAATTAGAAAACATTTTTTATTATTTTTACATTTTTAATTATGTTTGTATAGTTAGAAATTTTTATTAATTTTTTAATTCTTTAAAAAACAAAACAAAGATTAAGCAGTTTCAAGAAAATTTGAAAATATTATTCATTTATTAACTAAAGATATCTAAAAGATATCTAAGAAACTAATGTCAGATGCAAGAATTCTAAATAGATTACATTTACAGATAAAGACAAGCATTTCTATAATCATTACTAAAATAAATCTTACTCCATCATTTCTGAAATAGNTAAAGATATCTAAGAAACTATGTCAGATGCAAGAATTCTAAATAGATTACATTTACAGATAAAGACAAGCATTTCTATAATCATTACTAAAATAAATCTTACTCCATCATTTCTGAAATAGTACCTTGTAATTCTGTATTTCCTTCTTCTACAATTATAAAGAGAATTGAAGCATGAACATAAGTATAAAACACCGGAGACCACTCTAATCTCAATATATCAGAGCATTTTGCTGCTTCTTTCCAATCACATTCAAAGCTAATTGAAATATAATAAACTTTATCATATAAACAATGTATGTTCACAATTATAAAAGCAAGAAGTTAATTAATTCTGAATGTTACTGGTGGTACCACAGCAATTCCCAATAACCAAGATAATGACATTTTTTACACTCTTGCTGAACATTAATAGACAGTTGATATGTGTCAATGGCCTAGATACCCAAAATGTAATTTTTAGTACAAGATGATAAATACTATCTACACTGGTGGACAAAATTAAGAGATGGAAAGCATTTTCGCACATTTCTATGATGCTATATTCTTCTATGACGCTATTTCTGGACGGTTAATGATATGGAGGGAACCTGGAACCCGATACCATCCCAGCAACATTATCGAAAGGGATGGTGGAGGACTCATGGTTTGGGCAGGGATCATGCAAGATACCCACACACCGCTCCTATGTGTTTGACAATGGTTCCGTGAATGCCCAGAGGTACAGGCAGGAGGTCCTAGAGCCCTATGTGCGTCTTTTCAGGGACGCTGATGGCCCTGAGTTCATTTTTATGGACGACATTGTGCGACCACATAGGGCTCTCATGGTTGATGAGTATCTGGAAAGCGAGGATATTCAATGAATGGATTGGCCAGCCACATCCCCTGACCTGAATCCTATTGAACATCCTTGGGATGCTCTTGGGAGAGCTATAGCGATGCGCCAATCTCCTCCAGAACCATTCTGGAGTTAAAAATTGCTCTGGTGGAAGAATGGGAGGGTCTTCCACAAGTCCTCCTTAACTCCCTTATTAACAGCATGCATACTCGTTGCACATGCTGTCTGTTTGTCAGGGGTGAACATACACCATACTAGAGGCAACACACACTGTACAAGCCTCACTTTTATTGTCATCTTTTATCCTTAAGTTCAAATTACATTGGATTTATTGGCAATAGGTCTTGCCAGTAAAAGGCAGTTTCATTTTTGTTTTGCATACTTTATTATCATGGAATAAGCTATATCCATACCAAATTTCATTTATTTATATTCAGTATTTTTTTTTTTAGATATTTGGGGAAATGTCTTCCATCTCTTAATCTTGTCGACCAGTGTATTTTAGATAATTTATCATCTATAATTATGTGAATAATAATAAGCATAATTAATTAAAAAATCTCAACTTCTAAAAGCAAGGAATACAAATATTAATAAAAATGATATAATGAAAAATATAATCTTTAAAATGCACATTATTAAAAGTAACAATTAAAAGGAGAGTTATTTTAACAGGACATAATTATTATTCACATCAGTAACTAAGAGTTGATAGAAAATAAAAGAAAAACTCGATATATCAGCAAAGCTGTCACTTATGTTTTTGCTTGTCTTCAAGTTTGAGATAAAAGACTAAATTAAAACATTGTTTTTTCATATTCCCAATTTTAGGCAAGAAGGAAAAATAGCTGATAGTAAAAATATGATAATTGATATAATCATTTGCTTGGGATTTTTCCTTAGTTCATGTTATCCACTTAAGAATTTTAAATTATATAGATTTAATGTTGCAGTATCAATTTATGCAAAGTAACAGAATTGCTCAAATTTGGAAAAATGGATTACATACTTAATATTTTAGATTGGAACAAAAGAACAGTAAATAACGATGAGAAATAACAGCAAATCCACGTACATTTATCTCAGGCATAAGAGTAGGTAAAAAAATCTTCAATGACTTAGCAACTAAAATCATAAAAAAAACACGATATTTGCGTAATAATTTGCGCAAAAGAAAACATTTAAATTATTTGCATACTTATTTAAAGGCTTTTTACTTTGTACTTAGACAGTCAAACAAACTGTTAACGTTAGAAAATAAATTATGATTAAAGAGAATAAAATAATAACAGAGTAATAAAGTCTAAAGTTTAGAAAGTCGAAGATTCCGCCAAAAATCTGAAATATCTAATGCATGTGTTCTTTGGTGAATGGCCAATTTTATTTATGACATATGCATGAATGCAATTATTTAACACCTTAAGTTTAAGTAAAATATTCTTAAATGAATGTAAATAAGACAATTCTCATTATACATTACCATACATAATACATTATGAAATTACAATAAATTCACAGATCATTATTTAAAATGCAATTTAAATCATGAATTAATTGATAAATATACAAGTGATTTAACTCATTAATTTGCCCTTTCTGCACTTTTATTCAGTCAGATAAGAAAATGAACAAAGCTGCCTAAATAAAGAACAAATTCTTACTATAAATTAGAATTGTTTTTCAGCAAGAAAATCTTGTTTTATATAAATTATAATTATACAACAACATATTTTATTCTAACCAAAAAAATTAAGGTTAAAATTTTTAAATCCTTTCTCAAATGTTAAAATAATTAAATGAGGGAGAAAAAACTTCTTGTTTCACAAAAATATGCACACTTCATATGAAAAATAAAACATTTATGTAAAAAAAAAAAAGAAAATATGCAAAACCAATAGTTTTAAACATCACATGAATCACTGATCTGAATATAATATAAATATTTGTCAATTATAAAAAAAAGAAAGAAAAATAAACTTTTTTTTAATGATTGATCAGCGATTTTATGAACTTATGATGATGAACCCTGAATCCTTCAAAAACTTCTGATTTTCCAAAAACATGATTATAATTTTAATATTAGTAAAAGAATTTTGGTTTAAAAAATTAAGTAGCTCCGTATTTTACACCAATTATTTTGTATAATCTGAATTTTACTTTGCTTCAAAAATCAGAAAAAATAATTAGTCAAAATTTAGAGTTGAATCTGTAAAACAGAAATATCCAAAATTTAAAAGTTTGATGAAAACTTACTTCTGAGCATCTGGAGAGACCTTCTTGTACTATTTTCTCTGATGTTTCTATATCGCCATCTCCACAGCCTGAAATAAACATCAATATTGAATTTTATTACTTCAAAATACATTGAATAAATGCTGTTCTGAAATAAAATCTGAAAGTATTAAACATTCAAAATAAAAATCTTACATATGGTCATATAAATGAATACAAACATGTTTTAAGGAAATTACAACTTTTTTAAAAAAATGCCAAATTTAAACCAAAAGATTTTTTTTTTCAAGATTTAGAGTTGCATTTGTCATACTAAAGAAAACTGAAATTTAAAATATACATAGTTAAACATGTTAGTATAAAAATGTGATACATTTTGAAATGCATCATGTAAAAGTTTTTAATATAGAGAATTGCCAAAAATAATGCTTCCTAAACTGAAAATTACATAAAAAGAGCTACAGAGTTAAAGTCAGGTTAATATTACAAGCTACATTAATGTTATTCTTATATGGAATGTCACTCTTTGCGTAATTTTGATAAGAGAAAAATTTGAATTTCTAGGAGACTAAAATAGAAACATAAATTGACCTAAAAAGGTGAAGCCCCCATAATCATAATTCAGGGTGGCCACTCAAATCAGGTTTCAAATTCCCCTGATTTTTCCAGGTTTTCGAGTAAAAATCTGACAATTTCCGGGTCAGCGTATTTTTTTTTTTCTCATGGAGTGTAGTAAAAGAAAAGTGTCAATATTAGTGTATTAGTCAGTATAATAGTGTAGTATTTCATTTAACATGTTATGTTTTCAAAATATCATCTCGAATAGATGTGAAGGAAACAATATGTCTAGCTTGAAGAACGCTTTTAATGAATAAAATTTTTTTTTGTGTTAGATAGTTTTTGCACAAAATGTACCAAATAGCAATGACCCAAAGCAACCTTGGATAAGTACTGTTTAATATATTTTTATTAAGCAAAAGAAAATAATTCCAGGTGATTAGAAACCAATAAATTTTTACATTTATTTACTTTCAATATAGAGCCATTTTATACTTAATTTTATCCAGACAATGCTCTTTATAAAATTCACTGAAATAATTTTCTTTAAACCAATATCATAAGTCAAATGTTTAAATAAAATTATTTCAGTGAATTTTATAAATATACTAAATAATTTCCTTTAAACCAATATCATAAGTCAAATGTTTAAATAAAATTATTTATTTCAAATTAGCATTATTATTTTAAGACATATTCCTCACTTGTAAAGGAAAAAATTTTCAATTTCTTGTTGTACATTCTATAGGAAAAAAAACAAGATAAAATTCCTTAAATTTTATTCTTTTTTCTTTCTTTCTTATTGGAAATTAGAATATATTAAAAATTCCAATTTAACATAGTTTCCTAGTTCAGATGAGTTAAATTGTTTTGTTTTTACATCTGGGCAATTCCATGGTGTCAGAAAAAAATGCACATAAATTTCTTAGAAAAACTATCCTATAAAACAAAAGTTTATAATCAAACTTTTACATTAAATATTTAGTATATCATAACTTATCGAAAAACAATTTGTTTTATAAAAACTGATTATTAAAAGTTCAAATTAAATGGATTAAATTGTTGCTGTCAGATGTGAATCGCGCAAAAGCAAAAATGATTACTAATTTGCAAATTCTTTAAACTCTGAATTTATTTGCAATTTAAATGTAAACTTGTCTGAATTTTGAAGCTGACATTTGAATAAAAAATTCTATACAGTTGCTTGTGAAATAGGATACATAATTAATTTGAAATTTTTTACTTCTGTGCCAGACTGAAAAAACTAAAAATAATTTAAAAAAAATTTTTTTTCCAGAAATTTTTTGTTGTTCTTATAATTGTACTTGACATCTGCCATTTGGGTAAGCTGTTTTTAAGTTTGACCATGTAATTTAGATTTGTAATCAGGAAACTTAAAAGTTCATGCATTGCACAAAAACGTTAGTGCTTTGTTAGCCCATCAAACTTTTTTACACAAAAGTAACATTTTCTAGGTCATTATAGGAAATAGGTAGCCCAATAAAAAATTTCATTTAAAAATTCGTATCATCCACCAAAGAAGAGTCATTATAAATAAGTATTTAGCTCACATTTCCTTTAGAAAAATTCCTTTTTACTCCAAATGAGAAATCATTGTGAGAAATCGAGAAAATTTTTTGGTAGCCCACCCGCCAAAAAAAATTATTACTGAATCAAGCTTTAGCTACTTTATGACCTAGAAACTGCAACATTGACCTTCGCCTTTATGCCTTAACCCATAATAAGAAATTGTAGGACAAATCAAAAATTTTCGATAGCAAATATAATTATCGGAAAATATAGCCTAAGTCTTAGCTAACAATAAACAAGTTTGAATATTATCATAAAACGTTAGTTCATTGTAGAAAATCGCTATTCTAGAACAATTTTGATAGCCAACATATCAAAAAAAATTTTTGGAACAAACAAGTTCTTGTTTACTTTTGACGAAGAAAATTTAAATTTCCTTTCTAAATGTAAGCCAATCACACAACTTCGTCAGGACATGTTATCTCAACAAAAATGTTTATAACTTAACTCAGCAAAAGAAGTTACTGCCAAAATGAAATCAGCTATTTTCTTACCCAGAAATCATAAAATTAAAGCCGAAAACATTTGCCTTATTCAGAAAATATTTCGCTCTTAAAATGTTGGACAGCTCAACCACCAATCAAATCAGAGTGGCCATTCAAATCAGATTTTTAACTTCCCTGATATTTCCAGGTTTTTCAGGTAAAAATCTTAAAATTTCCAGTCCTGTGTTTCTTTTTTCTTATAAATTGTAGGATGTTATTTTCTTAACATATGATCTTGAAAAAATAATTTCTTTTGCTAATTTGGCAAGATTTTTTATTTATTTCTTAATGTTTTAGTACAACATTAATTTTTAAGAAATTAAGACAGGTGGAGAAAATAATGTGTTTCGCTTGTAGAATATATTGTTTTTATTGAATACAATTCTTTTTTAATGTGTTACTTTAAGTAGTTTTTGCTCAAAGTGTACTTAGCAAATGGCAAAAACCAAATGACTAATAAAACCATGGATAAGTATTGTTTAATATATTTTCATTAAGCAAAAAGGAAAACTGTTTCAGGTGATTATATATTAATAAATTTTTATAATTACAGAGGCTCCCAAAAGTGCTCCTTCACTTATAACTTTTATTGAAATTGAAAATAAAAATTCATTAATTAAATGAATATCTCAGAATTGGTAGATGTATAATCTAATCTCAGCAAAACTGCATGGAATATTTTAAAAGCAAAGCAAAAGTTTATTTTTTAAGATATCAATAATCAAATAGTAACGAAAATTTTACCCCACGAAAGTCATCGTACACTTAAATGTTTTCCTATTTCAGAATTGAAATTATCGTCTATTGCTCTAATTTTTAATATATTTATTTTCAATTTAGTATCAAACTTGTGATAGCAAAATAATTTTAATTTTTGCTTCACTGTAATATTTTCTTTTATCATTTAAAAATGTCTCATGGTCATAATAAAACAATAGACCAAATTTGAAAGTTGATTATTTGTCATCATAAGAGGTAAATCAGCAATGAATATTGTTAAATTAATATATTGTGTGCTATTGCAATGGGCAATATGTGACAAAATTGCTTAAAAGGACTTCATATCAGAGATTAAAATTATAAAGAAAAATAGGAGAAATAAGAAAAATAGGAAGCATCATATTACGTATAACTTAGATTAGTATATAAATTCGATATTTTTTTCTACTGAAAATAGGTAGAGAAACACTGATGTATGATAGTTCTAACTTTAAAAAAAAGTAAGATTTTCTTCAAATTCAACTTACCCCTTGTTGAACAGCAGTCTGGACTTTATCATCTTTCCCTAATGTATTTACAGATGATTTTGAAGTTGATTCAGAAGAATTAGACAATTCTTGAACTGTAACTAACCTAAAATAGATAAAATTGAACAGTAAAAGCATTAGCAAATTTCAAAAAACTACGAAAATCCCCATACTTTGTGGAATAATGAAAAAAATAACCAGCAACATACTCTAAAACATTTGTTTAAGCATATAAGTATAGCATTTATTGATTGCATTCATGAAAATATTTTAGCTTTAAATTATGAATTCATGCTTTTTTTAGAGAAAAAATATTTTAACATACATAGTCTAATAAATATAAAGTCTGGTTCTGGAAATTTTTAATATCATTAATGTCGAGAGCTGCCGAGTTTTTGCATTTTTCTTGAAATATAGGGAAACAAATGTTATAATTCCATCTTCACAGACTTAAATATAAGAGGAAGAGCTAAATTTTCGTTTGAGTTTAACAAATGTGCTCAGCAAGGTGAATCCCTATTATTTATGCTGTTCAATATCACCTTACATTTGAGAATCACATCATTCGACAACTAGGAAATATATTCACGAAGTCAACAAAAGTCTGTGCCCATGCACACAATATAGGAATTAATGCAAGAAAAAAAAGTANGTATATAAATTCGATATTTTTTTCTACTGAACCTAGGTAGAGAAACACTGGTGTTTGATAGTTCTAACTTAAAAAAAAGTAAGATTTTCTTCAAATTCAACTTACCCCTTGCTGAACAGCAGTCTAGACTTTAGCATCTTTCCCTGATGTATTTACAGATGATTTTGAAGTTGATTCAGAAGAATTAGACAATTTGTGAACTGTAACCTAAAATAAATAAAATTGAACAGTAAAAGCATTAGCAAATTTCAAAAATCTACAAAAATCCCCATATTTTGTGGAATAAGGAAAAAAATAACCAGCAACATACTACAAAACATTTGTTTAAGCATATACGTATAGCATTTATTAATTGCGTTCATGAAAATATTTTAGCTTTTAACTATGAATTCATGCTTTTTTTAGAGAAATAATATTTTAACATACATAGTCTAATAAATATAAAGTCTGGTTCTGGAAATTTTTAATATCATTAATGTCGAGAGCATTGCTCACAGATACAGCAGATAAATTTCTCAGTATTTTTGCATTTTTCTTGAAATATAGAGAAACAAATGTTATAATTCCATCATCACAGACTTAAATATAAGTGAAAGAACTAAATTTTCGTTTGAGTTTAACAAATGTGCTCAGCAAGGTGAATCCCTATTATTTATGCTGTTCAATATCACCTTACATTTGAGAATCACATCATTCGACAACTAGGAAATATATTCACAAAGTCAACAAAAGTTTGTGCCCATGCACACAATATAGGAATTAATGCAAGAAAAAAAAGTAGACTAATAGAACAAATAAAAGAAATTATAGGAAAAGCAAATGTAATAGGTCAAACCAAAATAAAATTCATGATAAAGACAAAGACAGAAGAGCAAATACAAATACAAGGTCTAAAAATTGATAAAAAATTTTTACGGTACCTTTACTTATCGCAGTCACGAAATGAACAATAAATGTGAAATTCCACGGACACAAAATGGAAATATTTGCAAATAATGATTACTAAAACGGAAATTAATTTTGAGAATATGTATAATATATAAAACCCTAATAAGAAAAATAGTAACATATGGGACTGAAACCTAGGCTTTCTTCAACAATATGAAAATATATTAGGAAACTTTGACATAGTATAATTAGAAGAATTTTTGAAGCCATTAGTTAAAGTAACGCATGGAGAAAAATATGCAACCCCGAAATGGAAAAATTAAAAAGGAAAAACATCATATGATTTATCAAAGCTAAAAGATTACAGTGGATTAGACATGCCTTAGAAAATCATGAAAGGAAAGGAGGAAGATCAAAGTTAAGATGGCTGGATCAGGTTGAGGAAGAACCAGAAAAAAATATTAAACTGGAGAAACATGGAACTTTATTGTAGAGAAAGCTCACAGGGTTTTTGAGTTGGAAAAGAAGAAGTATAATTCTGATAATCTGACATGACTCTAAGAGTTTCAACCAATCATATAAGAGGAAATCACTTGAGATCTTAATATTTTTTTAAAATCCATATTACATTTCTTAATTAGTAATAGTACTGATCATATGATGTATACATCACATGAGTCTAAATTATATTTCCTTCTGAATTCAACAAAAATACATTATCACATAATTTAATTGTGATTCATAAAGTATGATTATGATAAGTACAAAAGCAAACCATGATGATCAACTGTAAATATCTA